TATAAATATAACAGGAAGCACATAAATAGGCACCTAGGTTACATTAATTACTAAATATTTCAACTAGTAACTACAGTATTTTAATTAGAAAAAGGCAAAAATTTGCTTATGGCTTATTCACGTTGTCGTTAATGCAAAATTTCATTTAAGAGCTGTTCATAACGTTTCTGGAAATTATTTTACTTTATACGGAATTCCTAATCTTAATCGGAGGCCCACCAGCGGCAGAGCGGTAAAGTCGCTGAACACTGGTAGTTCGATTTGACGTTCGATTCCCGCGAACGGGCTGGCTGCACGAACGTTTTCGTGATTTTTACATGTGTAACGTGTATACGAGCCAGTTTCCCATAGAAAGTCCTACACGAAGGCATCCATCCCCATAGGCAGATAGCCCTCGAGGCTTTGCCATAATCACATAAACCGAACCAGACCAAACCTAATCTTAATCGGAAATCCTCCCTCGTTCAGTGTAACCAATCTTAGCATAACTATTCGTAATCGGAAGGCATCCTTCGCCAGTGTAAAATTAAACATTAGGTCAAAGAAAAATCAAACTTATTAGATGATTTTTATGGATTTTATTCCCAGAAGCAAGGGAAAAGGCAAAACATTGTTATCGTCTCGTTGAATGCATCATCGGTTAGGCAAAACATTCTGACATTCTGTAGAATTTTTTTCCTAATCGATGATGCATTCAGTGTTTAGCCCAAAGGAGTAATTTTTCCAGAAGGGCCGTTTTGTCATTTTGCTTCATTCACTCTAAACGGCGAATCACTTTTCAAATTGTTACCACCCAATATTATCGCCCTGTATTATATTTCAGAAAAATTAAATCATAAAAAATCTGCTTGAATGTATATATGTTTCTCGCACTGTGAAGAAACAACGGTACATAGACACATCCAATTTTGAATAACGTAGTCCTCCAGTCGAATATCGGCATCTAGAAGCCTAAATTTGGACTTTGGAATTTTTTTATTATCCATTTCATATTTTGTCAAACTTTGACGAATTTCTGATTAACAAACTCAACGATTTCAAAAGGAGCAATGGCAACACTATACGGGGGAAAACATTATCTCTATCGCGCGAGACTGTGCATTGGAAATTCTAAAGATATGCTCTTTTAAATTTACTTCGTGATATTATCGTAGAATGGAATTTTGCGGTTTGTTAAATTCTGCCATGAGAGGATTTAAAGTTCAAACAAAAAAAAAAAAAATAATAATTTACTTAACTTGGTTGGACATCTTGAAGTGGAGGACTCGTATCCTAACAAGCGTTGACGTCGGCCGGGCTCATCTTTACACTGGTTCTCATGATGTCGACGCCACTTCACACTGTAGAACAGAAACAGGAGCACTGCTGCCCAGGACGGCTATCCGCTTGGTCCTGAAAGTCCTATGTCAACACGCAGGTAACTCGTTCAAATTTCGCCTCTTTACCAGCACGCCGCAAGGAAGAGGGTTTTCAGCTTCAGGTCAGAAACGTTTTTTCTAGGCAATTACGGCTCGCCTGTTCTTACTCATCACAAGAGCAAGCTTCACGAGTAACGTCCCAAGTAAGTTCCACCCGCCAGTCAGTAAGAGAGAGAATCCAACTCGAATTTCCTTCAAGCCAGTTTTCAAGAGCAACGTCCACTAGTCCAGCCGGCCCGAAAATCAGCGAGTCCAAGCGTAAGAGAGTCTCGCCTCTTAACCAAAACGCGGCCGGGGAGCATATTTTCCGCTCCCCGCCGGGAAAACATTTTTCATCGTAATTACATTTTCTCTCTCGCTTTTTTTCAACCTGTTTTCAAGAGTAACATCCACAAGTCCAGCCAACCAGTAAGTGCGCGAGTCCAAAAGTGAGTGCGTAAAAGAGTCGCCTCTTAACCCAAAACGCGGCCGGGGAGCATATTTGCCGCTCCCCGCCGGGAAAACCTCTCTCGTTCGTCAAATTACATCTTGTCTATCGCTTTCAAGCCAGGTTTTCAAGAGCAACGTCCACTAGTCCAGCCAGCCCAAAAATCAGTGAGACAGAGAGTGAATCCAACTCGAATTTCCTTCGTCTCCTTCACAAACACGGGCTCCCACTATGGCTTCACTTATCGCCCCCTTAATTTTTGCAAAATCTTCGTTTTCAACCCCTGAACGCGGAAATAAGGGTGATCGCGCATGCGCGCCCTTCTTCACTTAGCCAACAACCGGACCCTCAATCGCCAAAAACCTGAATGACTTACATTGAAAGACAAGTAGCAACCTTTGACCTTTCTGTCACGTACCTTTCCTCTCTTAAGGTCAACTAACAATGAAAATTCTTTCCCGAACATTCTAAAGGACAAAGCGCGCGAAATCATGACTTGGCAAAAATTGCCTCCCTTTCCCTGCTTCTTTCACAATGAATAAAAAGTTTGTACCAGATTTGCAAATAAAAGAAAATAAAATAATATTATTTAAACTAAATAATATTTCCAGAAGCATCTGTTTTCCCCAAAATTAAGCCTTAAAATAAATAATTCATAATCAAATAAAATTAAGATTTCCATAAATCATAAAATCATTCACCTAATTTTTATAACGCTATCAGATAATTTCTCTACATAACAGGTTTAAGTACGAATAACATGATATTTAATAAATAAAGGTAACACATAAAACGTTAAAAAATACCCCTTTGTGCGTAATATAAAATTTGAAAAACTTTCAGATTTTTCTTTTCTTTTTCTTTTTTTTTTTTTTTCCTTTTCTCTTCAGAAGAAGAGAATCCTGTGTTTTACTGAACTCAAAATCCATGAAGCTATTTAAAATATGACTACAGTTGCTCTTTGTGCTTAATTTAAAATGGTTTATTAAATATCATTTGCAATTTGACAGCTGAGGGTGCTGGTTCGGTAAAACCATCGAAACTAATCCTGTGAAAATTTGCACATATTATGCTGATTTTTGTTGTTTGACTTCTAAATTAATATTTGTTCGGCGTATCGTTGATTTTGTCAATCAAAAATTCCTTAAAGTGTTACAAAATATGAAATCTATAATAAAACAAGTTTCAAATTTGGGCTTCCAGATGCCCATATTTGCTGGAGGATTACGTTATTCAAAATTAGATGGCTCTAGGTGCCGTTGTTTTACCACAATGCGAGAAACATACACACATTCACGCAGATTTTTCATTATTTAATTTCTTTAAATTTAACGCAGGGCGATAATATTTGGTGGCAACAATTTGAAAAGTGATACGCCGTTTATAGTGATTCGACGCAAAATGCCAAAACGAAATTAATAGCGCTTTTAGACTAATGCGATTTGGGCTAATAACAGGTGATTGACCTTGACTGCAAGAATTCCATGCGATACCTCATAAAAACGCTGTCCGGTATACACTTCTAGGTTCCTATTCCTAACTTTGTTTCCGATTGCTACATTTCGTCTCACGATTACTGGCATCACATCGCCGCACTGGTATCACACAGGCTGGAGAGAATCACGGCTACTGGCCAGTGAATAACTAAGACGACAAACGACTCAAATAGGCGCATTAAGTCCGTGGACTGCAAGTTTTTCAGCGTTATGATTAGACGAAAAAACACTTAGAGCAATCGAAAACTCTAACCGAACATTATAAATATTAAAAACTGATTAATTACCTAATTTTTCTGATTAACTTAATTACGTGGAAAGAATGATTTAATGTTCTCCGGGTGGCTAACTTACATTTTCTTGCATTTTTGTCGAAATTGTTGGTTAAAATTTGCACGTCTGAGATTTCTTTCTTTAATAGTTGATTATTTGAATTTTTCTTGTATTTTCATAAGCATATTTTCACATTTCATACATTTGTACACGCTTCGTATGCCCTCGCATGTTTTGTAACACTTCATACCTTTCATAGGTTCGAAGTAAGTTTACTTTATTAGCCCAAAGGAACAATTTGACCAGAAGGACTATTAATTTCGTTTTGGCATTTTGCGTCGGCTCACTATAAGTGTCGGCTCACTTTTCAAATTGTTGCCACCAAATATTAGAGACCTGCATTATATTTAAAGAAATTAAATAATGAAGAATTTGCATGAATGTATGTATGTATGTATGTTTCTCGCACCGTGAAAAAACAACGATACCTAGAGACACCGAATTTTGAATAAGGTAATCCTCCACTCGAATATGGGCATCTGGAAGTTCAAATTTATAATTTGTTTTATTACCTATTTCATATTTTATCAAACAATAAAGAATATTTGATTAAGAAACTCAACTGTTTCAAAGCGAGCAATGGCAACACTGTATGGGGAATTTTTTTTTTTTTTTTTTTTTTCCTCTCCGGCGCTCAAGACTGTATCGGAAATTCTAAAGATATGCTCTTTTAAATATTTTACGACATTGCTGTTGAATTGAATTTTATAATTTATGTGCGAAGGACATGATATTTAATAAGTAAAGGTAACACACAAACGTTAAAACGCCTAAGTTTTCAGATTTTATATTACGCCTCTTTGGGCGTATTTCAGATTTTATTAATTTATTCTTCGTTTAATCTCCTTTTGATAATCTACGTCATTTTTCTCTAGCATTTATTGTCGTGAAAAGGCATAACTCTTCCAAAAACATGTTTAGATTCCCACTAAATTAATTAAAAAGATAGCTAACACATCAAAAGAAAAGCTACTTTAGAAAAATTCCTCAAGTTAAACATTAATTTACTATAAAAAGTCTTGTGTTTTTCATTTTCAAATTACCTAACCTAACCCTTTCAAGTAAATAATTAATTTATTTTTGTATAAAATATTGTCTAAATTTAATTCGACATCTGAAATTTAAAGCAAATTTCAGTCTTAATAGCTTAAATGAAGTTATGTATTTTATAAAATACAAAAAAATATGTAATGACATAAGTACAAGTTATTTGGTCTACACAGTCAACTTTTTGACCTCAACGTAAATTTTTAAATCTCGTACAAGTTTTAAAATCGAATATTTCTAAATGCGTCCAACTTAGTTAAGTACGGAATGGAAACTTACCTTATGAAAAACAAAAGCCACATAAACCCCATCATGAAGGAGTTCCAAATCATTTTTTAAAGTGATCGTTACTTTTTCGTTACTTCCCTCTAAAGGTAGAACCGTGGGAATTTGCACCTGAAATGAAAAAAGAACCCGAACACGCTACGAAGGTTTCACTTATCTTATTGTAAATAAAACGCTTCTGCGCATGACTTCTTTTTTAAGATTACAGGAACGTTTCAGGAAAAAAAAATAATAATAATAAAATTTTTGTTCTTGAAAATGATAATCTAAAATTTTCTTGTCGCCAAATCCTACCCTTTTAAATTACAGTGGGGATTGAAACACAGAATTTGTACCTCGAAATAACAGAAATTTATCATCTTGTAAAGATCTTAGGTTAATTGGAAAAGCCAGCGAGATGAAACATTAGCAACCGCCTTCGCGGGGAATCGCACTACGGACCTCTGGAATACCGACCTAGCGTGCAGACCATCATACTACGAAGGCATGCTAGGAAGGCGGAGAATTACCTTATATACTCCCCTTTTTAAAGGGCGACTGGGATTTTTAGGGGACCCAACCGCCAAATCATGGGTGTGGATAATCCTCATCCAACACCCTTTTAGTTCGGGCGCCACTGTAGAGACATTAGGTATTTTTTGGAAGCAGGCAAGATGAAAAATTATCAACCGCCTTCACCGGGAATCGAACCACGGACTTCTAGAATACCGACCCGGCGTGTAGAGTCACTACACCACGAAGGCACGTTAGGAAGGCGGAAGAAATACCTTATAATCTCCTATCATTAAATAATGAAATATCTGTATGTGTGTATGCTTGTATGTATGCTTATTTGTATGTATATATGTGAATCTGTTTGTTTGTTTCTAGTACTGTGAAAAAACGTCGTCATCTAAAGCCGCCATATTTTAAATATAACATTCTTCTCCACCCGAAGATGTGCACCTCGAAAGCACAATTTTGAATTTCGAATTGCTTTTATATTTATTTTCAATTTCTGAGAACATAATGAAATTTTATTTAATGAACTAGGCTATTTAAAAGCAATGTGTTGCCACTTGTCAAATCATAAGATATTGATTTTTAATTTTTTTGTTACCTATAATTTATCTGTTATTAACAAATTAAGCGAATTAAAAGCAATATCTGGATTTCTTCAACTCTGTTATCATTAACTACCTGAGACTCATTAAAACATTATCTATATATATATGTAATAATAAAATTCCATAGTCAAGAATACACTTAAAATTCTAACTGTATGTTCTTTTCATTTTTAATGGCGACGGTCTCTTATTTGAAAGTACGTGGAATTAAATCAACAGCCCCGTAGTCAAGTTGTTCTTCCCGCCTTTTCTACACGTACAGTTATAGAATGTTCTAGAGATATTTAATATATAAGCGAGCTGGAATGGCTGACGAGGCTGACGTCATTTCTTGGAAGCTCCGCCTTTCCAGAGGCTATAAAAAGACTCGCAAAGGAATATCGGGGTCTTTTCTTTAATGTAACAATGCAGTAAACTTCAGGCAAAAAGTTATTAGTAGTTCTTTATTTCCGGAGATCTGATTTTTGTAACTGCTATTTCTCCTGAATAATAATAAATGGATCCTGTTTTTTAAACTTATCGTCTGATACTTTGAGCTACGACTACGACTATGATTCTTCACCAGTCTATTTATTCCGGACAAAAGCTGGTACATCATGTATATATATATATTTAATAATCATTATTCTCGGTGGTTGCCCGAGGAAGCAGTTAGCTGTAACAATACCTCGTAGAAATTTGCCCATCTGGTGAAAGGATTTAAAATATTCTGGGATCTTTGAATTAAAAATTAACCACACATTTGTTTGAATTGTCATTTGCATAGTTCTATATTGCTTGTGTTGCTTATTCTCAAATCCACTCTAGTCCATCCAGCATGGATTTAGCAAATCCACAGCTCTAATAGCTACACTGGAACTCCGAATTCGAATCAGATAGAACATTTTAATGATAACTAAAACGAGAAAGTAAAGTCTCGCAGGGAAGCGATCCTACCTACAAGTTTAAAATGCGGTAACGAAATTATTGAAAAGTCTGGAAACTATTTAGAACACCCAAAATAACAGTTAGGAGTGAGAGTTTTAATTTATTGATCAATTTAATCTAGTTTTTTTATAATAAATGCTGTGTTTTATATTTATTTTCTTTTGTTACTATTTTTGTGGGACAAATTAAATTCATCAACAGTTACTATTATTATGGGGCAGAGGGAATAGTACAATTACTATAAAACGGTGCTGCTACTTCCTAATGATTCCTTTCCTAGTGATATTTAGGATGGTTAAGTGTTCCCACTAACTTTGGATATTAGAAAGGGATTCCGAGAATTTTAACAGAGTATTAAACGATAATCCAAAGCGTTAAACTATGATACTTTGAGCAAAATGGTATTGAAATCATTCGAAAGTTGTCTATATATCTACTACTTTGCATAAAGTATCTCCACAAAAGCGCTTCCCCGGCCTTTAGTTTCGCAACCATTGGTTGTAGACATACACTTTCAATGCCAAATATGTGTTAAATCAGTAATTCTCAACCTTTTTAAAGCTGACGCCCCCCTAAGAAGTGGAAAATTTTCAACGCCCCGTCTGTGAAAATCCTGTAATTTAGGTAAAAACTCTAAGTAATTTCAGTTAGACTTACACACCAAATTTGTTTAACTCGATAGTTCTGCATGGAAGGTAATTACATTCCTTTTGTTAAAATTAAAATGACTAATGCCAGAAAAAATTGCTTAAGCGATGCTTTATGTTTAAAACGTCTTTATTCTTTATTAAATAAATAAAAAAGAACAGCAAAAAATACGCTAAGACAGTAATATCAATGAAACAACCAAGTATGATCTCTGGGATGTCTGTGCTTAACGATTCAGATCCAGTTTCTGAACGTTCAGTTCAATATTTTGAAACAGATGAAGGGGCAAGGTCTCCTCTTTCCATGGTGTCGACTTCTCGTTTTTGTAATTAGATCAGTCACAGCACTGATTACCCGTTCGACAAGGTAGGAGGAACAGAAAGGAATTAAGCATTTTTTGACGATAGTCCCCACTCCTGAGTTGAGGCGACTGATGTTACTTTGAAGCCAAAGCTTTGTAAGGCTATCACCATTCTAGAAGCAGGCAAGTTTCATTAGTTGAAAATTTGACCAGTATCTCCTAAAGCTGAAGCTCTGCTGTCTCAGTATTCATAAAAGGGTTCAAAACACACTGAGGGATTTTCAGAGACAAAATATCCTCAAACTGTTCAGAAAAGTCCTTGTGGCAAAGACTAAAGGTGTTGACAGTGAATATGTGTTTCATCGGCCAAGATTCATTGCTCTTAGGCATATCAGACAAGATTGGAAACTGGCTGAACTCGTTGCCAGAGCAGACGGAAACTAACTGAACTCGTTGCGACCAAAATTCTGCTTTCACGAATTGAGTTTTTTTAGGAAGCAGAAATAGCAGATTTTGTTGTGATCAAATTGAGCTCTTCGCATTGAAGCTGTAAATTAATTCCAATGAATTTTGCGAATAAATCGATTCTGTAAGCAACCTCAATCTTAAATTGTAGCAATTTATCTTTCAACTATATTTTACTCTTCGAGGAACTCAAGTACAGAGTCGAACAAATTCCAAAACCTATTGATGCAGGCGCCTTTGGAAAGCCAGCGAACCTCGGCACGTAGAAGCAAGCGACTGAGGTCTTCATTGTTGTCCTTATACAGCTGCCGGAATAATCGATCGTTGAGAACATTACTGAGAATTTTATTCTCAGTAGAGATGGCATATTGTAATGACAGATGCAATGGCATACTGTCTATGAATGAACTGAAGAGCTAAAATACTTGGTACTTCTTTCTTCAAAAGGGCGATGAACCCATGATGACGACCCACCATTGTAGGATCTCCATCTATGGTAATAGACATAACGTTCGCAAGAGGAATATTTTTCTCATTAAAATATTCTTTGAAAGTATTAAAAATAGATTCACCTTTAGTATCTGTAATCAAATACTTTGCAAAAAGCATTTCTTGAATAATTTTTCCTTCCTTCACAAATCGGACGTACGCTAACAGTAAAGCCTCATTAGTCCATGGCATGGTTGATTCGTCAACCTGAGGAGAAAATTCGGTGAGTATCAAAAGTTTGCATAATGAAGCTTTATCATCTTCCACCATGCCATCAAATCGTCGTCACACTGTATCATTGCTTAATAGGACATTTTTTATAACACCTGATGCGGCTGGATAGTGTAAAACCGTTTTTAAAACTTCCTTGACAGCCGGCAGTATCAACTCTTCGCCCATGTGATAAGCTGTCTCCGATTTAGCAACTAATTTTGGTATATTATAAGAGGCTATCAAACCATCGTCGCACTTTTTTGATGAGGTTGCTAGTAACCCTGAGACAAATGGTGCTTTCAGAAACTTGGCTCTGATGTTCGGGAAAAACGACAAATCTTTAATTTGTTTGTCAGGATGAATTTTTTGCAGATTCGTCTCATCATTCTTAGAACTGCATGAGGAGAGTCGTCGCGGAAGTTCGTTTTATTGCTGGTACAAGTGGTGTAAATCGGATAATCGATTTAATAAATGTTTTGGGGAGTTCGAATGCCAAGACATGTTCATCGCCCTCTACCGCCCAAAACATGCTCGCCGCCCCCCTGCCGCGCAAAATAAGTTCATCGCTCCTCAACGTCCTTCCAGCGCCCCCTGGGGCGCGGTACAACCCCCATTGAGAACCAATGTGTTAAATTATAAAAAAATTCCCGTTTCAGCATTTTTAAATTTTAATAAAAGATCAATTTTATAAAATTTACGAAATCAAACTTTTTAATTTTATACGCTTCTGCAGTCCCTAGATTAATTTTAAGAGAATTTCATCCTCGTTGTAGAAAATGAGACAGCAAGCTTTACTCTCGTACGACAAATATTGACTGAGGTGGGGTGGTTGATTTCAACATTTATTTATCAAAATTTATTTATTTATTTAAAATATTTGGCATTATTTGCAGTTTGTCTTGAGAAGTCGATTAACGAATAAATTAAAATAATCTGATGTTATAACCAATACTTTAACATAAACTGTTGGACTAACTGTGACAATAAGTCTGTCCTCTGGT